AGCCATCTTCTTGTCTCCTCTGAGCTGATTTATAGGCGGCTGGCCACTCTTTGGACAGATTTATACCTGCTATCACTTGTTGCGGTATTAACTTAGTGGTAGGTAGTGATTGAAAGCAGTTGAATATCTATGTGGACTGTGGAGCTAAATGCATTTATATCCTTTGTGCAATGAGGATAAATGGTAAAACAGCACAAAATGGAGAAGGTTTTTTAAGCACAAGTTTTAAAGCTTTTTAGGCTTGGTCTTTGTTTCCTTTAGTTTCCCCGCTGACTGCAGAGGGAGGGTTGGAAGAGGAGGTAAGGGGGTGGCAAGAATGTTTGAGTCACACAGAAAAAGAGGGATGTTATGCTGTGTTTGACAGGGGAGGGTGGGATGAGAGAGGCACAACAGTGGGAGGTGCCCTGAGGAATGCCTGGAAGGTGTCAGCAGATTCTGGGGGGCTTTGGACTGATAATCTTCCATATCACGTTACAATACCCTCACCCACCACTCTGACTTTAGGCCTGTTGTCTTTTTGTCTCAAACCAATAAGGAGGACTTGCTGCTTGTTAACCTTTGCCTGGCCATGTCTTACCAGAAAGAAGCCCTTAAATGAACTTGGTGTGGATCTGACGATGGACAAGCCCATGGGCCACTGAAGGGTAACAGGCTGTCAGGATCTGTAAAGTCTATGTACTTGTCTGCTGCTTTTAAAATGTCAGTCCTCCTTGACACCTCAGCCTTTTCTCACTGTGGCCACTGGTACCTAAGCAGTCCCTCGGGAGGCTCTCCCCTGACTTTTATTCTAGAGTGATTTGTCAGACAACACAGCTCTTAGATCTGCCAAAAGCTTCTCTTTATGGACAGAACAGTGAAACAGTGCACATAGATGTGAACCAACTCTCAGTGGGACTCTGTGACTCAGCCTGGCTAAAAGCTAGAGCATTCGTCACTGTGGTCTTTTGTTTGCAAGGTTTAATTCATCAAATTAATGCAGTTAATCCAAGAAATCTATTTTTGGAGCATCTGCTTCATACAGTGGTTATTAGGCACTGTGACGGCATATCCTCATTAGTCTGTTCAGAATACAATTTGATGTCAGATAAAGGCAACGTAAACACAAGAATGAAGTTGCTGGATCAAACCAGTTGAGTTCCGTAATTACACTGGTTTTATGCAGCATTAAACTGGTTTTCTATTTTGCAATAATGCAGTAGAAAGTGGATTTTGAAACTGGCATAATGTTTCATTTTGACTTTTGTTATTTCTGTTTTGCTTCTGGCAGTTTTTCAACTTTGCATATTCCCTGTCTCAACATTTTTGCCACAGAAATGTAGGCTTTTTGTGACAAGCATTTCTTTCAGTATTTAGCCTGTTATCAGATGTCATTGGCTGACAAAGGGGAAAGTTATGGAAAATAACATGTTTAAAAATTCAGAGAAATTAAGTAGTCATGGCTGCAAAACAAATCTGTTATGGTTTCGCGTCAATCAGCTTCCTGGCTTTCTGTTTGTTTACCTGTTCTCTCCCCGCTGCTCTGTCACCGCAGTTAGTCGCCATGTCCGTCACCTGTGGCCTGTTATCTCCTGGTCCTGTCCCTTGCGGTTTCTCTCTGCAGTCAGCCATCACTCCTCCCACCTGCTGCCCGTTGTCTCCCGGTCCTGTCAGGTATATATACACCCTGTCTTCCGCCGCGTCTTTGCTGGTTCATGTGATACTATATCGTTACCTTACGTTTATGCTACGCTGCGATACCATTACCTGACATTTATGCTATGCTAGCCGGTTAGTATTATGTGTTAGTGTCCTGAGCTTACCGTCTTTTCGACTCCGTGTTCCCGTCCTGTTCCTGTTTGTTTCTGCATTTCGGCAGCTCTGATTAGTCGGCGTCTGGTCGGTCAGCAAGCTCCCCGTTCTGTTGGTTACATTCGTCAGTCCCCTGCTCTTCATCCTTCTGTTCCCTGATTGCTGATCTTGCTACTTTGTGTGTCTGACTACTTCCACAACCCTGTGTACTTGTCCGTCGACTCACCTGTCATCCTGGTCCTCCTGGCTGCTGCCTGCTTACCTGCTCGTCTTCTGGTTCCTGTGTCCACCCTGTTGCCGGCTCTCCTGCTCATCTTCTGGTTCCTGTGTCTCCCCTGTCACCGGCTCTCCTGCTCGTCTTCTGGGTCCTGTGTCTCCCCTGTTGCCGACTCTCCGGCTCATCCTCTGGTTCCTGTGTCTCTCCTGCTGCCGGCTCTCCTCCTGGTCCCTCCTTGGTCTCCTGGTCCGTCCTTGGTCTGCTCGTCCCTCCTTGGTTCCTCTCTGGTCTCCTCGTCTCCTCTTGGTTCCTCTCTGGTCTCCTCGTCTCCTCTTGGTTCCTCTCTGGTCTCCTCGTCTCCTCTTGGTTCCTCTCTGGTCTCCTCCCTGGGTCCTCGTCTTCCTGCCTCCCAGCATTACCTGTGTTTTGGTTCATTAAACTACTTTCTTTGGCTCCTACTCGTCCTGGTATGTCTGCTACTGGGGTCCACACCACACTCACACGTAACAAAATCACAAATATGATGGCTGATTTTATCTTATCACCGTTATATAAGCATTGGCATATGTATTATATTTCATCTACTCGACATCACTAGCTTTATCATAGTTTTTCAAAATGTACATGTTCATGTACATTTAGAAAATGCACTGCCATTTTATAACCTCTGATAATTTTATTATTCATCATTATATGAAAATAGGCAGCAGCCTAATGTGTTTTAATGCTATGACATATTTAGATTTAAAATGATTCTTTTTTAGGATTTTGTGAGGGACAATGGAGTCGAACTTCCACTTTTATTTACATTTAGTTGTATGCTTGGTATCAGCTTCACTCTCAGTAACCATTCCTTAGTTTCAGATTTGGGGGATGGTATAGGAACAAACAAAAAGAGGCAAATAGTGGTTCAAATTTAATTTTGAGGGAAATGTGAAGATTCAGAGGGCAGAGGTGCTAACAGAGGAGAGGGGTCCAGCCCATGCTGAGAGGCTCCCACACATTCTGCCTGACCTATTGTTCATGCATTTCTTGGCTCTGTATTTAGCTGTGGGAGGGGGCTGTGGAGAAAGGAAGACAGTTCAGGATTGTGGCATTGTTCCATACACGTTGAGTAGTTTTTATAAGTGATTGGGCTTTTGCTTTGTGCATGTGTTGCTCTCTGGGTCAGTATGGTCAGATTTGGGCTCCTCCATTCAATCATTTTCCCACAGGGTGTTGTCAAATTCAAACACACACACTACAATGGCACCTGGTTAGCTGGACTGTGACCTCATACCAGGAAAAAGGAAGTGGAAAAACACCTGACAGCATCATTTGTATAATCAGCTGTTCATGTGACTGGAGGCCAGAGAGAGGATGTCTAATGCCGCAGGTTGTAGCTAGTACAAACAGTAGGGACACATACATATATACACCTGCATGTAAACACTTTTGGATTTTATTCTGTTTTCTGTGACTCTTCTTAGCAAGCAGTGCATGGTGTATGGAGAATACAAAGGGAATAACTGAGGAAACTGATACAGGAAGAGAATGACAAAGCCACAAACATGCTTTCAACTACCTGAAAAGGGGGAGGTACCAGATCTGTCAGCAGAGCAAGAAAGGGTGGAGAGAGAGAGAGAGTGAGACTGGGAGGGTGTGTTTCTGTGTGGGTGAGAGACACAGAGAGAAGGAGGAGGGGTATAGACAGAGAGAGACAGAGCGACAGAACTCCAGCAGTCTCTCAGATCTTTGCTGTGGCGAGGACACACAGGAGAAGTACATTCCGGAGGCAGCAAGCGAGGAGAAGTCGCGACATCCTTTAAATCTTTCTGTGACCACGTCTGACTGCCTCTGACCTCTGCAGGACTCGCACGCTCCTCACATCCTCTCACACACGAACACTCACTCGCTGCCTCACACATCAGCCACACAACCGGCCTTGCTGCTCTGTGAGAAGTTAAGGATTTCTCTAAGTGAGGCACAGAAATGGGGGAATAAACAACGACAGAGGGAATTTAAGACTTTGAAGCAAAGAGCCTGTCAATCGGTGAGTGTAAGGGCTTTTCTCAGGCGTTGTTTGAATGTGTCCTTGACAGTTTGAATGTCAGTGTTGGGAAGTTTTCGTGAAGCAGATTTTCTGTAGTGGCTTTTCACTATGTTCACATGCATGGTAGGAGAGCTATCTTTATGAATAAGCGTGAGCTTTAGTCTGCTTATCTTTTCTGTGCGGAAGAGAAACAAAGCCAAGCTGTGTCTTTATATATACCTGTTGATACTAGACCCGCCACCCAAGTGTTCCTGTATAAGACAAAAGGACTCAAACCTGTTTGGGTGAAACATCACTCTTGTGCACATTCTGTGCACTCCTGTCTTTTTACTTCTTTGTGTGTTTTTTCGTCTGTGTGTGTTTTGAGTGCTCCCTGTGTGAGTCAGAGCTGGTCTCTGTGCACATTTTTGTGTGCAAGTGTTTACTGTGTTGGAACTATGAGACAAGTGCAGGCTATCTCTGTTACACAGGCTGCTCACTGTAGGATTAAAGATTAATTTATGGAGGGTATGAGCAGAGTTCAGCTCACTCACCCCATGTCCTGTATTTAACTGTTAACGTGCAACACATCTCAAATACCAAGACATTGCAAGCCTAATGAACCAAACCTCTCTAAGGCTATTTAAACACTGACTCATCATTATGCATGGTTAGCATCTTATTTTACATTTCCCAGCATGGTATGTGTCAGATAGTGAAATTCGGAGCTCATTAGCAGGCTGTATTCGTTATCCAATCAGGGCCATCGATTGGACCCCCCCTCCCACACACACACACACACACACGCGCGCGCACACACACACAGAACTCCAGTGGGAGATGATTATTTTTCCCCACTAACTGCCTGTGGGATTTAGACAGTTATATGTCATGTGTTGCTCACAGTGAACTTGGTTCCAGAGAGATAGTTGTAGGGGAAGCTACCCAATGGACAACTTTGACTCAAGCATATTTCATAGCTTTAACATGGCTTCTATAAATTGATTGATTTCTTTTACTTCTAAGTTATTTTTGCCACTTTTTCAGTCATGGTTATACTTGATATTCTGTTCAGATGTATTAATCTCATTTGACCTTTGCTCATTTATCTGTATCAGGTGTTGATGCAGGAAGTTGACCAAAGAAGAGAAGTGTTTATATAATGCTTTTCTAAATGTCTCTTCTTTTTAATATAATGAATATTAAAATAGCAGTATGCTGATGTGGTTGCCAGCGGTGGAGCACTTTTTAAAACTTTAAGCTTTTTCCCCAGGCTTGATTAGTTAGCACTTCTTTTCTCTCCCTTTCCCTTTGTGCATCTCTCACTGCTGAGATATTTCTTATTTTCACATGAATGAGCCTGTTTAGTGTGGAGAGAGCAGTGTCCTCTGAGAGACGTCGTGCCTTGTACTCCACAATGTTTTTTTTTTTTTTACTGCTCCTTCACTGCTTGAATAAACAGATGAACTCCTCTCCTCATCTGGAATTGTCCGTTTGTCCACCTGTGTCTCTGTCGGTGTGTTGCTGAGCTCGCAACGCAAGTAAAGCAAGTCCACCTTTGCACATGAGATATCTTTAGGGATTCTTGATGGGAATTTCCAAAGTCATTCTTCATGCTGTGAAGTGACTTAATTTCTCGCCATCCTTATCAGCAGTGCTTTTCAGCTCCTGCAGCTACTTTCAGGGCCAGACGTAATTGCAAACGCTTTAACAGCATGTTGGAGAAATAATATGTTTGCATGTTTGGGGTTGTGATTATTTTTGGGTAGGTAGTTTGAACCAGCATCTCTCTTTTTATCTCTCTCACTCTGTAACTATCTTGCTTTCCCATGTGTTGCTCTGCCTACCTTTCTTGCTCCCTGTTGTTCTTTCCGTGCGTCCTCCCGCCCTGCCTGTGCAGTGTGTCGGAAGGTAGTGCTGTGCTGTGCTCATGTCGGATCCATTAGGGATGAAAGCACACTGCAGTGATAAAAGATTGATCCACCCCTCTTTGCGTCACATTCACATCCCTCACACCCTGTTCCCTCATCCTCCCTCACACCCCTATTTCCAATCCAAAGTCAACCCAGTTTTCAATTTATCACATCATCTGTGCTTTTATAAATAAATCATCCTCACCAAAACTTTTTCCCTTAGGATTTTATAAATTCTGGAATATTCTGCTGTTCTTGTTTAGGATGCCGTATTTAGCCTGTTGTACATTTATGCAGGTTCTCATGATGCAAAGCAAATCTCTTCCTTCTTCTCTGGACAGTGTTTTTTTTTTTTTAATTAAGACTGTTCCCCTTTCACTCTTCTGGTGTTTGTGTCATACCAGGAAGGGTAATATGTACTTGGCTAGCAGAAACAGTAAGATACTGGCATCCAGCCCAGCATACGCAGGCCTTGGTTCACCTGTTGTATAGTAGGAGGCAAAGACAAACACAGCAGACCTGTAGTTTGTCAGCTGGGAGACTATAATTACTAATAGGAAGGAGGGGACTTGGTAGGAATTTCACTGTAATTCTGTTTTTAGGTGTTAAGACAGGTAGCTGCTTAGGAGCACCTGAAAGCACATTTTTGTGCTGTATAACTGCAGAAGTCTCTGGACCCATCTGAAACAAGTGTATAAATCTTTTGAACCCAGCTGGAGAGTTTGAGAAACATGCCTCTCAAGGAATGGTTTGTTGCCAGCTGCTCAGCACTGTACTTGTTTTGTCTTCAGTCAAATTTTAAGGCAGTGTTGTTGAAATAGCTTGAAAAGGTTCAGGTCACTGAGCAGCATGCAGGTCCTTAGCCTGAATCTCTTTTCAGGTGTCCAACATGTGCAGGTCTCAAGTTAATTTAAACCAGCTGTCCTCACACAGCTTAGTCCACCTACGGACATGTTTCCAAGTGAGTCCAACTGACCAGAAAGTTCAGCTGTCATGTCCTGTCAGGATGAACCTCTTTGTAGCTTTCATGGGTGTTTGTTCTGCTATGTTACCCAAATCTATAGCTCCACATTTCACGTTCTGTTGTAACCGCTGTAAAACCACTGGCAGGTTATAGTTGCTGGCGTTTTGGGTGTCTGTTTGTCTGTTTGTCTCATTGGCCATGGTTCTCAGTTCTACTGTGTGTAGTGATTGTAGTGTGGTAAACATCTCTGCCAAACCCCTGGGATGGTCATGTGACTGTGTGTGAGAGAGACCATGGATGTGTGTCTGTGTGCCAATAAGCAGCGGGTTGCTCCCTCGTTCAACCACCCATGCTTTGTTGACTCTCAGCACACAGAGCTCTTCGGGCCGTAAATAACATGGTGCCCCTGCCAAGGGCCCAGGACAGGGCCAAAAGGGGGGGTCAAGATGCCAGTAAGAAAGAGAAAATGTCTGCTACAGGGCTTCAAGGTACTAAATCAGCAGACGGGAGAGAACGAGGCAGGTGGACTTGACAGACTCATCCCTCACGCTGAGAGGCTTGACGTTAGGCCAGTCATTTATTGTAAATGTGTTTGATCAAGCACATTAGAAGCAAACGAGCACATTTTGCTCATGGGTAGATGGCAGCTACTGGTGCACTAACACAAAGTGATGAGCTGAAGTGCATGTGTGTATTAGGGCAGTGTAAATAAAGAAACATATTATGGACAATAAGTAAACCAAGCTCCAAAATTAAAAATTACCATCAAAATGCTAGATGATAAATGATTAGTTATGTAGATTTGTTTTGAGTGAAGATATAGAACAAATGTAGATGAGATGGAAGCATGAACTTAACAGCATTAAAGATGGGTGTTGTAGGTTTTTTTTTAAGATGACAGGTCTCAAAAGAACCTTGGAAATGCTTTTACCAAACAACCTGAGATGAGCAAAAGTAGGTGAGTTTGTGGCTCTGTAGGTTTCAGTAAAATTTTCACACAGCCCTAGGGAGCTGTACCACACATACCAATCTTCATTCTGTCTGCACTTCATTACACCGAAAGCACAATTTTTCACAACTGAAACTTTGCCTCTTAATCTACAGGTAAGTGTGTAGTCTATGTTACCATGCTTCCCATAATCCAGTGACAAAAAGACCAGAACAGACACTTTTTTTCTTCCATAAAGATGAACAGATAAGCCATGTTCTCAGTATCAGGTTACCCTCGTCTTTGTTGTTTAACACATAACATTTGACTCAAACCTTGGCTCCAATCCAAGATGCAGGTTTACTGAGTTACGAGGGCACCTTGGCAGACTAAAACTTGGAACTCTGTCAAATGTTGACTGTTCCAGGTTTTACTTATTATCCAGATAGTGCAGTGAACCAGCTTCATGAAACAGGCCTTTGTTCACACCTACATCATAAACTTTGTTGCATAGAGTGTTAGTGCACGAAGTCCTGCTCTTTGGTTAGTTTCATTTTTACATATTTCACACTTGTAGTTTGTATCTGAATATTCCTAATTTAACACTCGTCTTTGTCCAGCATCTCCTTCATCACCCACCCCCTCTCCCTACTCTCTCTTTGTCATTCCCAGATGGTAACCAACCTATTGCTTGTTTGTTAACACAACGTCTGTGTAAGCATGCCAAAGTTCAACTTGGTGGCCTCAAGTCAAAGAGGTGAAGGGCTGATTCTGGAAGTGAAGGGGCACCTCAGTGAAATATACCATCTTAGTCTCAAAGGTGCTCCTAAGGTTCGGCTGAAAATCTGCATCTTGCCCTCTTCCCTGTTCCTCATCCCGACTGTCCACACATCCTCCCCCCCACACTGCCCTGACAGCTGTGATCCTTTACTCTCCTCAGAGTAATGACAGGGAGAGAGAGTCATGTGTGACACCTCCCCATCAACCCACCCTAAATCTCATGATCCACATGCAACGCAAACAGATTCCACCCTTTACTTTCCGTCTATTCTACATGGGTACATTTAGTACTCAGTATTAAAACTGGAATTTGAATGTGTATCAGAATAATGTCAATTACCAAAAGCTGATCACATGTCTGGCCAGTTTTTTCACCTTTTTTACTCATTTATTTAACAGATAGCTAATAAATCCAAATATTGCCGTAAGTTACATA